ACTTGTACTTTCTACCCCCCGTCCCCAAAGAAATAATCATAAGCTTCGCCCTTAAAAGTAAGCAATGCAAGTGCAACTTTATTGTCCATTGCAGTTGGTTGAATTAAATTACATTTTGTATTGATTCCAATTAAGTTCTTGGGGGTAAGCTTCTATGAACAGAACTTTTGGTTGTGCCACATTACGTATACTCCTCGTTGCACCCCCAAATTGGCTGATTGATTGTGTTATTGCCGCACATCTATGTCTCTGATATTGCCTCTCGTTGTGGCTCCTTACTTTGCCTCCCCCCGCCCATCGTAATCTATTAAAAATGTGATTTTAATGTTTTTTTAATATCCTTTTGCCGGCACACACGCACACTCGCAGCGATACTGGATATTTATGTCGTTTTCTTCCAAGAAGCCCATGTAATCCTTTTGGCAAAGTGAATTAATATCCTGCAACGCAGTTATTTATGTCGCCGAAGCATGAAAATGTCAAATTATCTTGTAAATATTCAGTCACTTTAATTCAAGAGAAGCAGAATTTAATTAATGATTCTAATCCTAATGGAAAGTAATGCGCCCACGTGAAATTAAAGGCCAATTAAGCGGCGACGACAACGACTCCTGCCATAATTCATCGCCACAACTGCAGACGCTCCTTCTGGCCCGCGGGCCATAAATGCCAATCATTGCAGTCCGGCCAAAAGGACTTCAGCTACGTCAGTATTTTCACAAAAAATATAAAAAAAAGACGAAGGGAGGGAAAACAACACAAAGGAAAAGGCAAGGAGAAAAAAAAAACATCCCTAAAAGGCAGAGCGCAAAATAACAATTCAGCTTTTAATTTCATTGCTTTGAGCACTCTCCTGGGATTCGGATGATAAATGAGCCCAAGCATGCCAAAAAAGGCCCAGGAGCAGGAGGAGAAAGGCGACCAAGTTCATTCACACGACTTGTGTAAATACAATTGCCAAAGAAAAGTCAAATAATGCCACTAAAAATTAAATGCTTCAATTCATACATTACTCTTTATATTAAGCAAAAGAATTAGCCAAGAAAATTAGTAATTACACATTATTTTAATCTGAAATCTCTACATTTCATCTTCCAATAAAGCACATTTCTCTCCGTGCATTATCCAGAATATTCACTTGACATTCAAACAATGAATATCCATTCGCTTTTCTAGGCATGCCATCATCGCCCACGACTAATCCCTCAAAAAAAATATATATATTTATGTTTCAAGCCAATTCCACGAATGGTTAACCCTAACCCACAAATCGAACTTCCAACTTTGTGGGAAACTTTTCTTTTTTTTTACATTTTTCCGACTAAGCACTGACCCCCTACCTGCCTCCCTCCCTCTGTGCGCTTGATATTGTTTTAAGTGAAATTCGAATTGACGCCCACACCTCGTGGCAGGAAGCGCCAAACCCACCACCCACCGAAACTCACCACCCACCGGAAGGGCAGCCATTTTGTATTTGCCGCAACACTTTAATCTTGTTTTCAGTGTTCTCTCCGCTCCCCAAAAAATAAAGTGAAAGCCAGCGGAGCGCAAAACGTTGCAAAGCTTCAAACTCCGAGGGGGGGGGGCAAGGTTTTTCAGGTGCACCATGGGATCAAAAGTCATTTAGAAAAATGTACAAATTAATTTACAAATTAAATTGCAATTAATATGGATTCAATTTGTAGTTCATTTCCCTTGATTTGCAATTGTTTCATTTAATTTATCTTCTACCAAAAGTTGAAATTGTTATGATTTAAGATAAACTATAGTTAATGATTGGGTAAATCTTTTATTTTTATTAGAATATATTGTTAATTTGTCCCGTAAAGTGTTTAATGGGGCCCATGGTGGCTTTAACTCCGATGTTAGCTTCCTTTTTCTCACTTTTTTTTTGCTGTCCGCCTGTCAAAGCGTTAAAGTTAGCACCAATCGCCGAACGATATCAATTAGCTTTGATTAAATGGAAGCAATCCTCTCGGGCAAACTCAACTCTTTTTGAAACCAATCTACATACAATTTCCAGCTACCAACTCCTTTTAAAAGGTATTAAAAATAAAACCAGGAAATCTAGTTGGATGTTCCATAAATAAAGCTTAGTTAAGGGAACGAAATGAAACGAAAGTCGAGAGATTCCTAGGGATACTTTCTTTGCTTTAAAAGAATATTTCTAAAACGTATTAAACTAACCTGTATAAAGGGAATAAGACTTGAGTTTAAATCCAAGTTAAATCTGTTAACAAAAGGCAACAAATTTGTAGGACATACCCTTAGGAGAAAAATTCCCAACAGATTTTCGATGCAGGCAATCCCTCACTCTCCAAGGGTAACCCAGACTTGTCGTCGTTTTATTGCGATTTGATTTGACCCAAAATGTTGGCCTTTGACAGGACTCTTTTGGGTCCTTGACTGCCAGTCCAGTCCAGTCCAGCCAAACCTCACCTCACCTCACTCCTCCCAGGGTCCCCTTTCATTTGCATTTTGCAGTTTGCTTTTTTGCGCCTAATTAAGATGACCAACGAAGCAGGGTGGTGGCAGCAGCAGCCGGGCGAGGGACATGCGGACATCCTTTGAGCTGCAGCTGCAGCAGGACCACTGGCTTCCCAGCCTAGCCGGCTTATTATCTCATCTAAATTACGAAAGGGGCTTCCCCCAGTAGCAGCAGCAGGAGGCGCTCGCACAACTAAATGAAATCAAGCCGTGTAATGAGCAAAAAACTTTGCAAAATGTGCCAATGCTCCCCGGAGCAAGATGGAGTCCATAATTTTCTGTTAACGAAATCACTGCAGCTTCCTTTCCCCTCCTTATGGCAGTGCCAAAAATAAAGGCAGACGAAATTGTTGTTTGTAAAATTTTAGAAAAGGCGCTAGAGGCAGGGAATATAATTTTTTATTTTTCGCAAGTTGCAAAATGCGTTCATCGAGCAATTCAATGCTTGTTTTTAATACTCTTGCAAAGGATATTATAGTTTTTGTCAGAAGCTTTGCAATGCAGAATACTTTATTATTTTTACAATAATTGTATCGATATAATTAAATTTTGTGTTAAATTTTAATTTGAGATTTCAATGAGGCATATAATTAATGAGAAGTGAATGATTACACGAAAGCATATATATATATATGTTAATTTGTGCAAAAAAATAATAAAGAATTAAATATAAAATATACAAATATTATAAATGTTAAATTTAATAAATATTTATTAACTTGAAGAACTTCATATTATAGCAGAACTAAGTTAAAAATACATAAATTTCAATTCGAAAAGCATGTGCTAGTTTTTTATGGTTAATAAGTCTGCGTATTTAAATTCTAAAAATTTGGTTTTTTGTTGAAGATGGCCAAATCGACTCAGCTTTTGATTCTGCTCAAGAATATATATGATTTATAGGGTCGGAAATGATTTCATCACCAATTTGTAAGCCTCTGATTGAAACAATAATCGTCTTCAAGGGTGTAAAAATGATAATTGAATTACTGTAGGTATAATCTTCTTAAATGGTATAAATGAAACTGTATTTCAGTAACAGAGGAAATCACTAAAAGTAAGACTATTTTTAGATATTTAAAAGAAAGACTATCCGGTTTCTGGAGGACAATGTTACGTATACGTGATATTCTATGTTGGTTGGAGTAATGTACGTATACGTAATATTTATATTGGGTTTCAAAGTTTAAAGAAAATCCATAACTAAGCCAAAAATGCACTAATATTAATTCGGGAAGCTGTTCTGTGTTAACTTTTATATAGTTAATAAATCTGGATACTCAATTTAAAATTTAAAAACAAAAACAATTTTTGTCGATTTTTGACAATTTTAACGAAATTTTATAAAAATTTGAAAAATTCGAAAAATATTTTTTCCCTCCAGAACATATCTAGATTTGTTCGGCTTTTCAAGCTGATCAAGAATATATATGATTTATAGGGTCGGAAATGACTTCTTCACTTATTTTCAGGCTTCTAATTACATTTATAACAGCCTCTATAAAGATATAAATTTATATAATTTTCAATATTTCGAAAACATAAACCTTTAAAATTTGTTTATTCCACATGTAAATGTATTATACCAATCAAATCCAATATATATCAGCTTTCCGTATTGAAATTAAAGCTATTTCAACTTGGTTATGAATAATTTCCCATTCAATTGAATTATCCTTATAGCTATTGCAAGGGTATAATAGCTTCGGCTTTCCTATACATTTTTTATTTTATTTTTTATTTTTCTTATTTTCCTAGTTTCCCTCCAATGTTTCCACTGCGAATCAATGTAATCCAAGTGCATTTTAAGCACTAATTGGGAATGTAACTTAATTTGAAAGGGGGTTTGTATTGGATTATCCGCGACACAGGCTCAAATGATGTTGCAGTCAAACTTTATATTAGGAGGAAAATCACTAGATTAAATCCCTTGAAATTCTTTTCCCCTTTATCTCAAGGCCTTTCCATATGGATCATATCTATATATGTTATGGTGGTGCTGCGACAAAATGGCAAAAATTTTTAATTGTTGCCGCCGCCTGTCGACACATCCTGTTGCGAGTAGCCCGCGGCAGGCAGCAGGATATTTGTGACCGTGTCCCCGTGTGTCCTGACCGTCCGTCCTGTTAATGCGTCCATTGTGCTGGTTAACAAACCAAATTTGCCTTAGTGGATTTTTATGTATGTTGCGCTCCGGTTATGCAGTCCCCGGCAACACTATTGTCTGCGGTTTCCCGGGCTTGTTTGTTTGCTTGCTCGTTCGCTTGTCAGTTTTGTTTTCCGGCTCTGTGTGTGTGTGTGTGTGTTTTCCCCCCATTTTCCGCCACTTGCGTCGAATGGTTATAAACTTTTGGGGCGTTTTTATTTTTTTTGTGGGTCAGCCAGGATTTTGCTTTTAATTGCACTTAGAATGGGGAGTGGTAGCCAAAGTTCTGTTTTTCAAATTATATATAATATATAGTGTAAATATGTTGCTTAAGCTAATCGTATATTGGTTTTTTGTCTTATTTCAGCGCTGAAACAAGTTCCTTGGCACATCCCAGAAAGCCACTCAAGGATGTCGTCACACTGGCTTATTGTCCTGGGAGTCCTCTGTCTCCTTGCAGGTAAGTTCAACGGGGTGTTGGCCCCTGGGGAGGTCAAGCCGCGAACCCTTGCCCATTTCCCTACAACCTCACCCATTCCCTTCAACCAATCCTGGAGTCAGGACCCACTGGGAATCGCACAGCAGATGCCATTCCTTCGTCCAGACTATGGAATGGGAATGGGAATGGGAATCGGAATTGGAATCTCCTTTGCATGCGCGGCACGTAAAAACAATTTCGCTGGCCCGGTCTCGGCCCAGGTCCCGGGACTGCAGCTTCATCAGCAGCTCCCCGGGCTGAAATTGTTTTAAATCATCTACTCTGCCAGTCTATTTTATAAACTGAAATTTAAAATAACAAGCCGTAAGCGTGCTTTGATTATTGTGGGCGTGGCGCCATTGAAGTAGACGTTGCATAAAATCGAGATGTAGCAAAAAATGTATAGAAAATAAAACAACAGGGGAAAAAGTTTCAAGGATAAACTAGACGATATCCTTTTGATGAATATTAAGCATATTTCTCAAGGAATTTAAGAAAACTTGTAGGAGCTGTATGTATATACATTTATCAAATAGTTGAGCATACCCCGAGTTACTCCTCTAGTACCTGGCAACATTTCAGCGCATTGAAAATTGCAAATTGAGCAGAAAAAGCATTCAGTCGCAGAACGTGCAGTGCGTGTATCTGCTGCAGGATACTGCCACAAACACAATGCTCGTTAAAATATGAGTAGCTGGATTGCACTCGAAGGACCACTGAGCTCCATGGTAGCTTACTCACTTGTCCTCCTTCAATTTAAATGAGCTTCGACACGGGAGAACGGAACACCTTTGATTGCTTAATAAATTTGTTTTCCCTCGTTCCATTTGCCTTGCCAGCAAGGCAAGGCGACACTTAATGGCTTTTTAGAGGTCACCTCGCTTCCTGCGCTTTAATGAAATTAATGTTCAAGCCAACTGATGGCAATCAATAAAATGTCAACAAAGGAAGAAAAAAATTGTTGGTCTGATTAAAGTCAGAAGCCAGAAGCTTCCTTCGTGGGCTCCGTGCCACAGCTTGTGATTTGTTCTTTTCAGGCTTTGGGGGTGCTGGGAGGGAGAGAAAGCGATTCCTTTCCCTAACCCCCGAGGCAAGATCAAAGGACACACTGATTGTGAGGCAAATGCTCGAGTTTAATGACAACCGCTAAATGTAAAGTAATCAATAATTTTTGAAACGAACTTCCCGGCAATACAATACGATTGAATACCAATTAAAGTTCCCTTTTCGTTTTTGGTTTCCATGCTCGACGAGTAACCAAAACTGGGTTATCGTCATGCTAACAGGGGAGTGGTTAAATAAAGGTTAATTATAGCCTAAAGGTATATTTCGAGGTGGAACTGATCCGTGTTTTGAAGTGGCCTCTAATTGGAATTGCTTCGCTAGCTATTTCCTATTGTAATTCACAGGAAAAACATATTTATATGGTTGTTAGGGTGATCCAAGTTCTATTTATTTTTAATATACCTTATGGAAAGGTATTGTTTATTTTAAAGGAAGAGAAGTTCCTTTATATCTGTTTTCTTGTTTTCCGCAAATGCCATTTGGTATCTTGAGCAAATAGCTTTGGGATTAGGTCCTTATAAATTACACACCATGTGGGCAGCTGTCAAAAGTTCTTCAGTTCTGCTCTGGACTTTGGACTAGACTCGTAGGACATAAATCAGAAAGTCCTGACCCCAATTTAACCCTATCGGTGGAGCCATCTCAACGCATTTCCCGCTAGTGTCCTGGATGGAGGGGGAAATATGAAAAATAACCGCGAAATGTCGCAAACTTCAACTTGACTGACTGAGTGACTCGACGACTGAATGACTTTGCTAGCGCTCGCTGAATGAGTGACTTAGTCGAACTGAAAAGACGCTGTGCCCATTTATAACCGTGGGGTCTTTGGGGCTAGGATCTGGGCAATGTTCCTCTGATGTCCTGATGCAATAAGAATAATTGGAATGTCAGTTTAGATGTGAGAGCGTAAAATGCGAACGCAAAGCGACACATACACATGCGCGACGCGAGGCCCAGCCACACTGGGAGAAAATGGTAGACTTCAATACCTAAGAAACATTGCAAAATAGATGTATTTATAACTTTATAAATATATAAATAAGCAAGTAAAGTAAGCTAGTAATTGGAAGGATTATAATCTATAAGTTATAGTTCCTTTAAATTGCTTTTTCGAGTGAAGTTGCAGTAAAAATGGCACCAAAGTTGCTGCTGCAGCCTCTCATGTTGCTGCAATGTTGCTGCGATGTTGCTGCTGCTGTTGCTGCTGCGGCCACTGCCTGATGTGGCTGTCGTCGTCGTCACCGGCGCACTTGGCTGAACAATGACATAATTCTAATGACAAGCAGAACGACGGTGACGACGACGACGACAAGCGAATGGGAAATGGCAACCGACTAGCCACTAGAGCAGCCGGGAAATGCAGGATGCAGGACACCCGCGGGTGTGTCTGTGTGTGTGTATCAAGCAAAGCTTCAGCTGCTGTGATAACACTGACAAAAATGACAATGCCAACATGACATGCCGGTCATACCTACCGGACTTTAGAGAGAGGGAAGGAGAAATGGCCGTAAAGAAAGCCGTAATACCCTAAAGTATCTAAACACGGACATGGCTTTGCTGAGCAGTTGCCATTAAATTTTTTAAAGCATCCTTTTTGGTATAAAAGTATTCTATTCGAAGTGGATTAAATTTCTTAGCTTGAGGAGATAAACTAATATTTTCCCTCTGTCAACATTTAACGAGTGCTTTTCATTCTGAGCTATAAATATATATAAAATATAGTTTATATAGTTTTATGCTTGACTATCTTGTTGCAGAGAATAGGAGTAGGAAAAAGTTATTTAATATTATAATTTTAACAAGCATTTCATTATATCATATACATATGTCTGGTACTAGGGGAAAACCTGTCAAAAATCCCCTAGTAAGAGCAAGATATCTGAACCATATCCTCATTGCACTTGCTAGATATCCTTGTGTCAGGATAACGACGTTGGGTGGACAGCGGGTGGTCTAGTCCTAGCATAAATATCGCTGAATTCTGTGGTCAGCAATATGCAGCCCATGATAAACGAGCCGGGCATTCCAGCGTTTTTCGTACTCCAAGGAGATGCAGGATGCTGGATGCTGCATGCAGGATGCATTTATCGTTCAAATTGAAATTGAAAATCAGGCAGGCGCAACGAGGACCCAGAGTGTGTGTGTGTGTGTGTGTGTTATCCTCGACGTACTGAATCCTGCAGCTGCGTTTGATGGCTACTTGTGGCCAGCAAAATTAGCATGTTGCGCATGCGTTGTGGGCGTGGCCGTCCCGGGAGGGAGAGAGGAGAGGGTCAGCGGCCTGTGGTCAAGTCTCGCCTGGCAACAGTGTCCTGTAGCTGACACGCCCCCCAAAAAGGGCGAACATAGAACCGGACAGTAATAGCAATAGCTTCGGAGCCCCCATTTTCCGCTGCCCCTTCAGATGCAACACTTGTGGTTGCATGTTGCTGCTGGCACTGAGTTAGATGTTGCTGCTGCTGCAACTGTTTTCGATGTTGCCACCACTCTTGTGCCATGTTGTAAATGTTTCCACTGACTCCTGTCAATATTCCAGGCAATGTGAGTGGTTTTATTTTGTTATTCTTATATATATTCATATGAAAACAATTTATAACAATTAAAGAAACTTAATTCCGAAAGACTAAGTTTATATACCCCTGCAGATTGCAATCAATATATAAAATATATTTGAAAATCGATCATTAAGCCAACAGTTTTCGCATTCTTTAAATCAATATTTAAGAGATTCTTTTATGACACTTTTTTCGACAAATTAAAGTTTAAAAATCGCATAACTAAGCCAAAAAGTCATTAATTTTAATTCGGAAAGCTGTTCTCTGCTAGTTTTTATGTGGGTAATAAATCTGCATACTCAATTTAAAATTTATAAAATATTTAAAATTTTGTCAAATTTTGACAATTTTAATGATGAAAGAAAATACATTTTTTAACAATTTTTTCAAAATTTTAACGATGTAACCCCTTATAAAATTTTAAGAAAATTAAAAAAAAAAAATTTTCTGCCGAAGATTGCTAGAAAGTTTCGTCTGTTGATGCTGATCAAGAAAATATATGATTTATAGGGTCTGAAATGTATTTTTCAATGCTTTTAAAGCTTCTGACTAAAAAGACAATACCCTGAAAGGTTATAAAACTAGGAAAATAGATTGAACTGTCAAGTCTAAAGCTTCAGTTTTTTTATTTTTTAATAGACTGCATTGATTTCTATATTGTTTTACCCTATAGGTTGGCTTTTCATATTTTAATTTTTATAAAAATAAAGATAGACTTTGTACTGTACGACATTTAAATTATATCAAGGCTAATCATCATATTAAATTACCTACAGAACCCACACAGAAATATTCCAAAGTATATGCTTAATAAAGCAATGGCTCATTAACTCAAACACCAAGTGGCTAACACACACACACACATAGGCACAACCACCCCCCCAAACACACCTTCTCAAGTGATTTCAAACTGTAATTTATTTTTGCAGTTCTATAAGTTCAGAAAAAATATATGTATATATAAAAAATGCCACGGAAATTATGAAAAGGAGCCAATTGAAAATGTAAAATTGCTTAACTTGGCACAAAACTCATTTGACATTCAAATGGCAGTTCGTGTAAAAAAAGAACGCATTGAATGAGGGGGGAGGAGCGTGAAGGAAAATGGAAAAGTGGGTGAAGGACGGCGGGAAAGATAGGGGGGTGGCATTTCCACTCGATTTTCGTAAAGTCCTAGCGAAAAAAAAAGTGTGGCGGCGGCGGCGGGTGGACGTTTTCCTTTGCTTTTAGCTAGTTTCTTGCTCGTTTCGCTTTCCACTTTTTATTTTTTCTATTTTTCCCTCCGATTTTTTTCTCTTTCTCTATATATATATATATATATATATATGTATAGATTTTATTTTTTTTTTGCAAATGTCATGG